ACCTAAGTACTAATTCATAATTTCATATCCGGTCACACGGGCGGCAAGCCACTCCCATCCGGTCACATGGGTGACAAGCCACTCCCACAAAGGAGGCCACACCCACAGAGTAGGTTCCCAACAATTTTTGAAACCCACCACTGGACAGAAGGATAGATAATGTATTAAGTAGGCAAACAGTCAATGGACGAGACTAATTGTGTATAATGTGATTGTATGGTCACTTCGACTTTGCGGTGCTGCCTTGTTTTAAATGTAAAAACAATAAAAATATATATTTCTAAAAAAGAATTAATGATAGTCTATTGTTAATGGTGGAAATTTTTTTTGAAAGAAATGCTGTCTATGCTTAAATTGAATGAGAGGATGTTTGCTGTTTCTAGCAATGGGGAAAATAAGAAATGAACATTTGGTGTAACTTTGAAGGGGCAATTCAAGATATTGTTTATGTCTTAAGAAAAAATAACTATAAAGATGGAACATAATGGAAGATAATAATTTGGCTGAAAGTGAAAACAAAACTATGATGTAAAAAGGACTATGTAATTAAGGGGAGGTAAAAGAAAAGACCTGGACAACTATAACATGGATAATTTTTTATTAAAAAATAAAGAAAACCTTGAATGGGAAAAACAGAATGATTCCAATCCTGATTCTCATTCTTCTCTGGGCTTTGTAGATATGCTCCAGTTGATCACCACCGAAGACCAGGACTTCTCTGGTCTGATGGACACACCTTTCGGCTCCCAGCTTCCTCCTGATCTGAACCCCCATGGGCCCAGCCTCTTCAGCAGCTATTTGGAGGCCCCCTCCTCCACAAGCTTGTTCCACCTTCCCACCCCATCTCCACCCAGCTTCCAGGCCCTGCCCGCCGCTTGCCTGAACATGCCGCCCTCTCCGGCGGGTGTCAAGGAAGAACCTTTGGCCCCAACGCTCAGCCCGGCTCAAAGCCAGCTGCCCACCAGCAGGATACCTTCTCCAAATATTGTCCCAGCTGCCCAGATGCCTTTCTCCACCCAGCCCTTGATGGATTTCCAGAATCAGAACAGTATTTCTGGTAAGGATGGGAAGAGCGAAGAGCTGAGGGTTGTAATGTTTGAGCTTCTCACTGGATTTCCATGAAGCCATCTGAACTGGTCCTTGCCTTCCATCAAAGCTTCCCTGAGCAAGTAGGGAGAAGCTTTCCACTGCCTAGTAACTTGACAGCACAGTGGTTGCTAAAGGCGCAACCACAAGGTTTGGCTAAAGACGTTGGCTGTCCCAGGAGGGATGACTTACTGGAGGTGGGTCTGAAGAACCATACGAGGTTTTCAGACCATCTTTCAGGAAAGACTTAGGCTCATGGGTGCTTGTGGATGGTGCTTCCAAGGTCTCAGGGTTGGAAATACAGGTCTTGAGGCTGTTGGATCACACCACCCATCATTCCATTGGCTCTTTGTGTTTCAGCGGGGTTCTTGAGGGCACCTCCAAGATCAGCTCTACCTGTGATTGCCAGGCTCCTGTGGGTGGGTGGGCTTATCCCGGGATCTGCCCAGTTGCTTTAGAAGACATCTCCAATTTTGGAGGGGTTTCTTCCCCAGCTCCCCAGCCAGGAGGGACACCCCAGCAGCCACCGCAGGTCTCCACCAAGCCCCAGCAGATGCAGCCTCCTCCGAAACCAACGCCGTTCCAGAACATCGCCCCACAACAGCTTCTGGCTGCCAGCAGCCCCCAGGTGGTCCAGCAAGTGCCGGTGAGTGGGATGTAGCGGGGTGGCACCACCCTCTTCCTCGGTCCATGTTTGGGCTTGTCGTGACTTCTCACCGTCTCCCCACAGGTCCTTCTGCAGCCCCACTTCATCAAGGCCGACTCCCTCCTCCTGACCACTGTCTCCGGAGCCAAGACGGCCAACACCAGCTCGGTGGTCACCTCCACAGCCTTGCAGATGCCAGTAAGGCCCCCATTCCTCTGAGTCCGGCTTCCCTTGGCTCTTCGGGTCCATTTCTACATTTTTTAAAAAAGTTTAAGTTTAAGTTTCATTTTATTTATATGCCGCCCTATTCCCTAAAAGGGACTCAGGGCAGCGAACAACTTAAACGGGAAGGGGAAACATACAAGNCACCCAGCTGCTTCCGGTCAGGTGTAAAAGTGCGGAGACAAAAGATGACCTTGACTTCTAGAAAAGAATTAAAACAATACATTCCACAATCCTACGTCTGTCTATTCCCCCCTCCCATCACCTATACTAATGAAACAGCATAATGAAATAAGAGAAAGTGTGGCAGGCCAAAATTCTAAAAGGAATATAATTGCAGGCCTGACACAGTATATGAAAATTGTAATACAATTAAATTTGATGTACCAATTTTAGAAAAATGGTCAATAAATTGATATTTAAACCTATGGAAACTCTTTCTCTACTCATACTGAGAAGGGTAGTGGATATATTATATCAAGGGAAAAGACTACATTCAAGCAGTTATAAATCTTACTTGCAAGATTTTATTTTTTAATATTTTAGATGTTACTTGCTGTACAAATGAAGGAAAAATGAAGAATTAAAGAGGAAATAAAGTACAAGTTTTATGGAGTGATTCTAATCTTCTTATGTGTAGTGTAGAATAAATGTAGGATAAAATTGAATCAACACAATGGTTTCTGCAAGAAATACTCCCATCTCCACCCTGCTTCAGATAACTAGCATTTTCAATTTGCTCCTACTTTTTCTGCTAATAAATATTTGAATAACAGTTGACATCAATATTGCTGAATTTTAATACTTGATGTATCTGATTTAATTCACTGGAAAATGTTCTGCATCTTTTAGTGTAAATTCTAAAAAAATTTATTATTCTACTTACGAATGCATTTTAACTTCTGCAAGCTTTCCTATATTTGCTAAAAATTTAAGCCATAGATGTGTACCTTTAATTTAATTTGATGTGTTTATATCATTTTAGAATTTTTTATGTCCTTTGGCGGTGTTTGAGGATGTTTATTGACTTAATTGTCTAATGGCACTTTGTTTTAAGAGCCCAAAGGGCTCAGTAAAATATTTAAGCTTATATAGATAAGGTAGATATAGATATTTCAGATAAGTAGCTAAAATTCTGTTACTTGAACATCATCAGATTGTTCAAACCTGTAAATATTTCAAAAAAGTTATTTTCTGCCATAGTAGAAAATAATAGACTTCAGTTCTATTGTGTTTGTATCTATACCCCAAAATATGCACATTTACTTAAGATATTAAAATTTTAATAGATATGTACAGATTACAGTTGTTTAATTTAACTAAAGTTTGATGCTTAAATTAATGCACTTTTAAAATTGCTCATAAAAAAGCACTTTCTTCCAATGATTTCATCTTGAAAGAGAAAAATGGGGAAGAAGACAGAAGATAGATTGTTATTTATATGGTATTTAGGAATTTGATTCCAAAGATATTAATATTTTAAAATATATAAATCGTTATATCATAATTTTCTCATACAGGAACTATGCAGATGGCAACTAATTTGTGTGTTTTATCTCCCACCCCTCCCACCCCCTTTTTTTCTTTTTGCATGCTGTCCCCTGTGTTGGAACTCTCTATAGAGAGTAAGTTGATTCAATATTCGTTAGAGCCCTGTCTTTGTTGCATGACGGATACTAATCTTTCTCCTTTCTATTTTATACTTATAAAAACATTTGTAGAATGTAGTTTTTGCACTTTATAAATTCCTGCAGCTATACAAACTATTCTGAAATGCTTTTGTATACAAATTAACTTGCCTTTTGTTTGTCTACTGGTATTGTGATGAGTGGCGCATCTTAATTTCATATCATCAAAGGAAATATATTAAAAAGATCTAAAACATTTTTCTCCAGAGTCCAATTGCAGATTAATATACAGATTTGTTTATAGGAATACACAAATATATCAGAAGTGGTATTCAGCAGGTTCTGGCCAGTTCTGGAGAACTGGTAGCAGAAATTTTGAGTAGTTCAGAGAACCAGTAAATACCACCCCTGACTGGCCTTGGCCCCATCTATTCTCTGCCTCCCAAGTCCCAGCTGATCTGGAAGAAATGGGGATTTTGCAGTAACCTCCCCCTGGAGTGCAGTGGGAATGGAGATTTTAAAGTATCCTTCCCCTGCCACTCCCACAGAACCAGTAGTAAAAAAAATTGAATCCCACCACTGATATACATGCATCAATACATACATACACACACACACACCACACACACACACAGACACAGACATTTTCTGTATGTATACACTGTATATATGGATTTTTACACATACAAACACACATGCTTTTAGCTATTCCATATCTTGATTGTTTTTATTATTTTTTTGCAAAATGCTATGAAAATATGCAATACTAAGCAGGGTCATTCATGTCAAGTGGTCTGGGGTTTCCAGGTTGACCATCACAGATTTTGATGAAATTTGGTGTGAACATGCACAGACATCCCCAATGAACATTGGATAAATGTTATGTTTGCCGATGCGATACTTGCAGAGATCCCATATCGCAGCCTTCGACAGTATGATTGTGAGATTTCAGCAACTTTGAGACATAATATCTCCGGCAATATTACGTTGAGAGAATAAAACTTGGCCATCTTGTACAACTTGTTGTCTTCTATTAAACAAAATAAAAAACCATTCTCATGAGCGATCTCCATCAAGTTAATTTGGAGCAAAGTTGACCAAAAATGACTGCGAAAAAGGGTAAAGTTTGGCTTCTTCTTTAAAAATACGTTTATTTCCATTTCCATTTCATTTCATACAGTCACATGTATACTGTGCATGACCGGGGCATATAACATTGAATAATAAACACAGCCCTCGCTTTCATAGACCCTACCCCCCAAAATACAAACCCAATATGCCACCTTGACCCACCATACACCCTCTTTCACCCCCTCCAACTTACATTCTTCCTTCCAACATTCCCCTCTACTACCTACTTCCCCTCCCCCTCTGTCGCTCCTCTCTCCCAATATATTCCCTCCCTTCCTTCTCCTCCTGCCTCCAATCCTCTCTCCCACCCTCGCTACCCCTCTTTCTTCTTTCACTCTACTCCTCCCTTCGGTGTATTTCTATTGTCTATCAATATATTCAGCTTGTCCTATCTTTACACTACCATTAAAAAGCCACAGTATACAAGTGCAATCATGTGCTTTGAGATCTAAGACATATTATATTTCCCCCCTCCCCCCTCCCCCTAAAACCCCACCTCCCTTCCCTCCCCCCGACTTCCCAGAGCCCGTACACGGTATAGCTTTTTAACAAACACAGTTTAAGGTATCTTAAAAACAAAGCAGAAGAAAAGGATCGAAAAGATCTCTGCGTTGAACTCAGCTTCTTACTGTTACCCAAACTTTAAACAGTTTAAGTTATTACTAATCTTAAGCATATACTATCTGGAATTTCTTAGTCCCATATTTGCTTTGTGTATAATCAATCCATTTTTTCCAGTCTCGTTTATATCTCTCGTTTGAGTGATCTTTAAGATATGCTGAGATTTTTGCCATCTCGGCTAAGTTTATAACTTTCAAAGTCCATTCTTGAGTTGTAGGTATGTCTTCCTTCTTCCAGTATTGCGCCACCAACAGTCTTGCTGCAGTTATTAAGTACAGAACCAAATTAGTCTCTACCGCTGTAAAATCAGTACATATACCTAGTAAAAATAACTGAGGGGTGAATTTTATCCTTCTTTTGAAGATATTTTGCATAATCCACCACAGTTTTATCCAAAATGCCTTAACTTTTCGACATGTCCACCATATATGAAAATATGTAGCATCAAGGGAACCACATCTCCAACATTTAGGCTGTACATTCGGATACATAGAAGCGAGCTTTTTGGGATCTAAATGCCATCTATAAAACATCTTATAAAAATTTTCTCTCAAGTTTTGTGCTTGTGTAAATTTCACATTTCTTACCCATATTCTTTCCCATGTGTCCAACATTATTGGTTCCTCAATATTCTGTGCCCATTTTATCATACAGTCTTTAATCAGTTCCGTTTCGGAATCCATCTGTATTAATACATTATTATATACAGTTTGGCTTCTTATATCTCTGGAAGGAAAGGTATGAGAAACGTGAAACTTTATGCGTAATAACTTAGCCACACAAGGTTTTAGAATATAACATTTCATTCTGCTACTGCTTTCCAATAGCTCACAAATTGAGTGTAAAGTTGATGGTTTTTGTAAAAATGCCAAAAATAGGGTATTTTCACTCCACTTTTACAAAAAAAGATAAATAGCAGTTAGACTTATATACCGCTTCATAGGGCTTTCAGCCCTCTCTAAATGGTTTACAGAGTCAGCATATTGCCCCCAAACAACAATCCGGGTCCTCATTTTACCCACCTCGGAAGGATGGAAGGATGAGTCAACCCTGAGCCGGTGAGATTTGAACCACTGAACTGCTGAACTAGCAGTCAGCTGAAGTGGTCTGCAGTACTGCACTCTACCCACTGTGCCACCTCGGCTCAGATGATCTGGAAATTTTGTTAAATCATTCTAATTAGAAAGAGCATGTTTCAACCTCCCTAAAAAAGAAAATTCTTGGCAAGGAGTCTCTGGGGGTCACAAACAAATCTTCACATTCATGAAATGAACTAATTGTCTCCTGAAAACTCCACTCCCCTTTTGCTCTTCTTTATTCCCTATGTTATTTAACTGTTCCATTCCCCTGGCAGCTCTATGCATGCCAACATTGGGAACAGGCTCCAGCTGTTCTTTTGCCTCACTGATATCCGACTCCAAAGGCAGCTGATAACTGTTGGATGGCCCTGGCCCCATCTCTCCCTCTGATACAGAGCACTCCTCAAAGCCTTCCCCAGACTCCAGGACTGGTCCATGTTCCTCCCCAACCTCCTCACTGTCTGAGTCTGCCACCAGCTTCGTTGGCCACTGGCGGGCCACAACATAGTCTTTCAAGCCAATAAAATGAATGAGCAGGGCCTCCTGGATGCATAAATGTTACCAGTACATCATTTTGTTTGATCGAAATGTCGATCAATGTTTGTTTGTTTGTTTGTTTGTTTGTTTGTTTGTTTGTTTTATTGGTCTTGTATGCCGCCCACTCCCGAAGGACTCCGGGTGGCTTACAATAAAAAGGGGAAGGAGATAAATAAGACAGTACAAAATTTAAAATGTTCCCTATCCACCATTTTTGTCATAAATGCAAGCAACATAACCACCAGGAAATATGTCGGGCAATTTTAAATTCAGATCAACAGTATTGGACATTTTGGCCACAAAGTTAATCGTGTCATTTAAATCTTTGTTGACAGAAATCAAATTTGAATCAACTGGCACAAACTGGTGATGATCTCTTGTGCCAACTATTGTGCTGCTAACTTTCCATCTTTCTTTTTGGAGCATCCTGCTTTCTTCAATTTCTTCCTTTGGGGTGTGTGTGTGTGTGTGTGTGTGTGTGTGTGTGTGTATTCATTCATTCCTTTGGTTCATATATATGAATGTTTCACCAGGTGATTTTTGTTTGCTGGAAGAAGAAAGATGGGAAGTTAGTAGCACAATAGCTGCACAAGAGATCATCACCAGTTTGTGCCAGTTGATTCAAATTCGATTTATGACAGCAAAGTTTCAAATGATAAAATTAACTTTGTGGCCAAAATGTCCAATACCGTTGATCTGAATTTAAAATTGGCAGACATTTCCCGGTTGTTATGTTATTCAAAAGCCTATTGTTGCTAAGTTATTAAGCACAAAGTTTCACGTTTCTCATACCTTTCCTTACAGAGATATAAGAAACCAAACTTTACCCTTTTTTTGGTCCGGAGTCATTTTTGATCAACTTTGCTCCAAATTATCTAGAAGGAGATCACTCATGTGAACTATCTCCATCTAGATAATTTGGAGCAAAGTTGATCATAAATGACTTTTTATTATTTTGTTTAATAGAAGACAACAAGTTGTACATGATGGCCAAGTTTTGTTTCTCTCAACAATTCAGTTGCGGTATGGGGGTCAAACAAATGATTATATCTCCACAAGTATTACATCGGCAAATGTAACTCTTATCCAATGTTCATTGGGGATGTATGTGCATGTTCACAACAAATTTCATCAAAATCCGTGATAGTTGACCTGGCACTTTTCTGAAAACAGACCACTTGACATGGAATGGCCCAGCAGTGTATAAATTGTGTTTATATTTAACTGATCTACAGTCAATAAATATTATGGAGGAATGGCATTGTTAGACCGTGACATGTGTTGCAATTTTGAACATGAAAACTAGTGAATTGACATGTTAAATATCAAGATAAAATGTTTTATAAATTTATTTGAAATAATTTCTATTAATGCTGTTAAATGCATCACATAAACAATAAATTGGAGATAAATTGACAGTTGAACTTAAGTACCATTGAAATTAACAATTATGATCATAATTCAATAGAATTACACAGATATTAAGAATTAACTTTAAATCCAATTTTGTTGCATCATTCTTTTTACTGAATATTGCTATTATTTTTTGAGTAGAGATGGATAACTGCAGTTTCCAAAACCCCTTATCGTAACCCATAGAAACCCTTTTTATTATGATTTTAGTATTTTAAGGTGAGAAACACAAGAAAAAAGTATTATAAAATTGAAATTTGCATAACTTAGATACATCAAAAGAACACCCCCCCACCTCAATGTCCCTAGAGAAAGACTTGCTCACATGTATGATTAGACCATGTCCACTTTGCCATTCCAGGTATAGAGACTATATATCAGGAGTGGGTTTCATCCGGCGTTAATGCCGGTTTACTCATGCACATGGCTCATGCACACATGTGCTAGATGCATACTACATGCGCTGGATACACACTACATGCACTGTTCAATGGAAATTGTTCTGTGCATGCACAGAACTAAAAAAAAAGATGATGGCAGCGACTGGGGAACCAGTTCGTGGGCATGGCCAGCCTGGGTCGCTGCCGGTTCTGCGACCCAGGCCAGCATACCACTATCAGTTTGGCCGAATCGGTAGGAACCCACCTCTGCTACATATGTTGTGTCCCTTGGGCCCCCTTAGGTTCCCAATTCATGTGTTAGTGGAATGTCTTTCTAAAAAACTAGGCTTTCTTATTCTCTACTACAGTAAGCCTCAATTTAATAATTCATTTGGCACAGTTCAAATTTACACAATCTAACATACAAGAGCAAAAAGGTTGTCCTTAAACCAGATAGCCAAATAATGCATGTAATCCGAGTCTGCTTCCTTGCATTCATTTTGGTTTGGAAGGCCTAGGACAGTGATGGCTAACCTTTTTTGGATCTCGTGCCAAAAGCGGTGGGAGAACAGGGGGGTTGTGCGCAGGTGTGCCCACACCCATAATGCTATGCGGAGATCCCCTTACATGCATGTGCATGCAACCTTCCTCCCCCCCTTTTGGCATGCAATGCACCATTTTTCACCCTCCCCAGGATCCAGAGGCTTTTTAGGAGCCTGGGGAGGGCAAAAACATCCTTTCCCCCAGAGGCCCTACCGAGGGCGAAAAACGGCCCTACGGGCAACCTGAAAATTCCAGTTTGCCCATAGGGCCGTTCTTCACTCTCCAGAGGCTTTATGGAAGTCTCCTGAAGCCTTTGGAGAGCGAAAAACGGCCCTACAGGCAACCCGGAAGTTCCAGTTTGCCCTTAAGACCATTTTTCGCCCTCCAGATCTTCAGGAGGCTTCCCTGAGGGCTCCAAAGTGCAAAAAACGGCCCAATGCGCAAACCGGAAGTCGGTCCCCAAACTTCCTGTTTGCACATTGGCTAGAAACGGCTGAAAAAGAAGACCGAAGTCAACAGGCACGCACTGGAGCTGACAGGAAAACACCTCGCATGCCCTAACAAATGGCTCCGCATGTCACCAGGGGTACGTGTGCCATAGGTTCGCCATCACGAGCTTGGGGTGTGTTTTTTGCTATCACATGTCTTCTGTTTACTTTCTGTAAAAAGATGGGAGGGTTAAAAAAAAAACCTTACTCTAAGAGATTTTCAGCTTCAGTGATTACATTGGAATTGTGCTAAACCAAGGTTTAGTAAATTAAGGTTTACTGTGGTAGACAATTGGAAAACTTAGCCTTTTTAATATCCTTTCCTCCGTAGTCCATTAAATTATAGTTTTCTATACTACTTTATCTGGATATATTTAACTAGAGCTTTTAAGCTAATTTTACAGTAAAACTTGAAATGAATTATGACCGAGTTCCAGCCCTAGATGGACAACTCACCCAAAGCTGGAGTCGTAACAAAATCGTGCCTGCACTACCCCCATTTTGCCTGCACTACGTAACAACAGTCTGTAGTTTGCTGATTTAAAGAGCAAATATAGACCCAAGATAAATGTGGAATTACAACTGAAAATCACTGCCTTATTATGAATCCTACATTTTAGAAATTGGGCAAAAGAACACCTCTTGTTAGTAGCTAGTTTCAACACAAAGTTATAATATACTCACAGTGTGATTCTTTTTTTCTACCTCATAAATTTCATTTATTGATTGATTGGGGTTTTTTTGTTTGCAGTAGGAATCAAAGTATTTTTATGCCTTGCAGAAGACTTTTATTCTTATTTGAAAGTTTGATTACTAATTCAGTACAAAGTGTAACTAAATATTTATATTCAAAAAGATAAAAAAATCCCTATTGCAACTATACATTATTTAATCAACTTGCTTTCTGATTTAAGTATACCATTTTGGATCATCTTCATGATTTTATATAACTCTATTGTTTGGATATAAATACTTCTAAAAACTATGAAGATCAAGTTTCCAATTTTAAATTTCTTCATAGTCTCCAGATTCTATTCAATTACAGATTGTTATATTTTCCATAAATATTGACATTTCTGTAAAGTTAAATTGTTAGGTATGCAGAGATCCTTTGTAATACATTAATTTCATTCTTCCCTGCTTCAAATATTATAGTGATAGTCATAAATCTGTTTCATTAAAGATTTGTTGTGGCATCCTAGCTTTTTAAAATCTATATCCAGCATGTTTTCTATGCATGCAAGACTTAGTAGTAAAAATTATTTTTCAAATGGGAGAACAAGGTTTTTATGGTTGTTCAGACTTTATTAAATACATTTGAATTAATATATAAAGTGATGACTAGCAGAAAAATAGCATGTTTGTATGAAAAAGAGATGAATATTGTGACTGAGTAATATGAGAGAATATAAGATCTATTGAAGTAGATAATATATCACTAAAGCTGGGAAGATTTAGAGTGTTTCAGAACAGTTGTAATGAAAAGATCTAGTATACTAAAATAAATCACAGATCAAGTTCCCAAATTCAATGAAATAGAAAACACCAAAGTAAAACACCAAAGGAGGGAAAAAGAGAATTGCGCCAGTCATCACAGCATTTCTTTGCTCAGTGGTATTGCATGAAGTACTAATTTGCAGAAATACAAATATATTTCTGAATCACAGATTGTGACAAGAAACAGGAGAGAATGTTTTCCTGCTTGGCTGTGTATTATTGCCTCTTTCTGCTTCTATGTGGTACATTATTTTGTGAGTTCAACACAGGCAAGCATCAACTCCTTTTCTTCCCTGCTTTTTTCCCTTTTGTCCTCCCTTTTTTCCCTACTTCAGGTGTTCAGCATGTTTTTGGAAACTTTAGTAGATTTTATTCAAGTTCATAAAGAAGATCTACAGGATTGGCTTTTTGTGCTGCTGACCCAGCTTCTGAAAAAAATGGGTGCTGACTTGTTGGGATCGGTGCAAGCAAAAGTTCAGAAGGCTTTAGATGTGACAAGGTAATAGATTAATGTCAGCATTAAAAATACATGTTTTAAACTTTCTACATCTGTATTTCAGTTTTGCACCCTTTGGAATACAATAAAATAATCATAGCTATATATGTCATCATTTTAGAGTATAGAAAAAATAATAATATGTCTGCTTTCATAATATTGTCTTTCTGGTAATGTTTATATACAATATATCTTTACAATGAATGAACCCAAATGTTTTGTCCAGTTTTAATTTTTTCAGTGTTTAAAGGTAAAGGTTCCCTCGCACATATGTGCAAGTTGTTCCCGACTCTAGGGAGCAGTGCTCATCTTCATTTCAAAGTTGAAGAGCCAGCACTGTTTGAAAACATCTCCATGGTCATGTGGCCAGCATGACTAAAAGCCAAAGGCACACGTAACACTGTTACCTTCCCATTAAAGGTGGTCCCGGTTTTTTTACTTGCATTTTTATGTGCTTTCAAACTGCTAGGTTGGCAGAAGCTGGGACAAGTAACGGGAGCTCACCCCATTACGCAGCACTAGGCACTTCAGTGTTTCGAAACCCGTAATTTTTATATTATCTCTCACTGCTTATCTAGATAAAGTACATGTATTTCCCGTTTTATGTCTAATTTCTGAGCATACTTTAACTAAAATTTAATTCTATTATTTCTTAGGGAATCATTTCCAAATGATCTTCAGTTCAGTATTTTAATGCGGTTTACTGTTGATCAAACTCAAACACCAAGCCTGAAGGTAAAAACTTATAAAGCTTTTGTATCAATAATACTTTTGTCTTGTATTATACATTCTGTGTTGTTGGTTTTCAATTAGTGGGTTTGTTTGTTTTTTTATAAAATTTCAGACAGTCAAGCCAGCACTGCAGGACCAGCTTTGTTCTTTTTGGAGCTCCAAGGTGTTTTTTTTCTGAATTATTGCTTTTTTTAATCTATTGTGTAAAATTTACATTAAAATATTTCTATGCATCCATATATTGCTACTAACCTTTGCAAGGAATTTTGAGCATGCTCTTGTATACTTGATAATCAAGTGTGGTTGTTTCTTGTGGTTCTTGATGCTCTTGTGGTTGTCCTGAAACATTTGACAATGAATCCTATGAAAATTCTACAAAGTCCAACACAGTTTTAAAAAATGATATGGCTGACTAACACCAAGCTGGTTATGCAAGCTTTTTCTGTCAAGTCTCTTCTAATTTTATGTTTGTAATTTCCCAATCTCCATTTAAAAGACTGAATAGTATAACAGTAGAATTTTTTGCTGAGTTTCCTGTGATTGTAAAATATTTTTAAATCTTCAAAATTTGAGTCATTTGACTTTAAGCTTTTATTATGAATATTGGATGTTATTAGTGACACATATTCAAACACTTAGCTGTTGCTGAAAATATGTAAAAGTAGAAATATATAAAGGACAAAACTATTCTCCAGCAGATGACCAGTTGGAGAAACTTCAGGTTTGGGTATATATATTATGTACAGTGACATGTTTTGGGAAAATAACAGGCATATATATAACCACTATTTTTCTCTGTCTGGCACAGAGCTGGTATCAAAGTTACAAACAAAAACATCATATTTGATAAAATGCAATTTTATTATAAATCCTATAGAGAAATTCATGTTAACTGTTTTGTAACAGTGAATCTTTAGATTTTTCTGTAGATTTAAACATAAAGGAGTAAAAATTTTAAAACTGGGGGGAGCTACCCTCTGAATGAGTGGGGTAGAAGGAAAGGCATAGAGAAGGCCCTGAGGCCAGCCGCTCCCCAGAGCATCCACGCCCTCCGCTCCTGGCATCACATAGCTAGTGAAGTACCTTGGTAACTGAGGGTTGTCCTGGGAGGCAAAGAGGTCGAGAACCGGAAGGCTGAACCTGACTGGCAGTTGTTGGAAGATGCGCTGATGTACTCTGCTGGATCCATGTGCATGCAGCTGAGGTCATCTGCCTGAGTGTCTTGGACCCTCGACATGTGCTCAGCCCTGAGCGACAACAGGTGGGTTTCCACCCAAAATATCAGTTGGAAAGACAGAGTCATTAGATGCCGGGATTTTGTCCTCCCCCTGCCGGTTTATGTGTGCTTTGGTGGTGGTATTGTTCGTAAGGACAAGCACATGTGCATTGGTCACAAAACAGTGGAATTGAAGGAGGGCAAGAAACACAGCTTTCAACTCCAGCCAGTTAATACTGTTCCTCTGGTCGGAGCGTGACCAAAGACCTTGGGCCGTGTGTGACCAAATGTGAGCTCCCCAGCCTTGCAGACTTGCGTCCATAGTTAGCGTGATGCATGGGGGTTCGCAAAAAAGAGACCCTTGTGTCATGGCAGGGGAGAGCCACCAGCATAGGGATCGCCTTACCTCCGAGGTCAGACAGATTCTGTTTGAAGAGCAACTGCAGTTTGCCTTCTGATACGGGAGCAGAAACCATTGGAGCTGGCGACTGTGGAACCTGGACTATGGCATGATGAGGAAAGCAAACACCATCTTGCCCAAGACTTGAGACAGTTGGATGAGCGGAACCGCCTCTTGGTCATGGACAGATGAGACCATGTCGTGAATGCTCACCTGTCTCTGGGGATAAGAATACCTGTTTCAGAGAAGTGTCTATTACTGCCCCCAGATGCGTGAGATGAGTCGTGGGCTGCAGATGACTCTTCTTCAAGTTGATCAGAAATCTGTGGTCCTCTAGGGTCCGAAGGGTGAGCTGGACATCCCGGAGGGCCTGATGCGATGACCTGGATAGTAACAAAATATCATCAAAATAATGAGAATTCTAACCGGCATAGATCTGAGATAGGCGGCCAGAGCAGCCAGAATCTTAGTAAAAACCCTCAGGGCTGATGATGAGCCAAATGGAAGTGCTCGGTATTGGAAGTGGTTCCCATTGTAAGAAAAATGTAGGAATTCCCTGTGATCTGGAAGAATGGGATATGGCGGTATGCCTCTGTGAGATCAATGGAGGAGAGAAGGTCATTGGGCCAAATGCTCTCCAGAATGGACAACAGAGAGTGCATTTTAAACCTCCTGTAGACTATAAATTTGTTTAGAAATTTGAGGTCGAGGATTGCTCTCCAACCCCCCAAAGACTTAGGCACTATAAAGAGACGGGAATAAAAAACCTGCCCTCGTTGCTACCTCCTCGATAGCCTGAATTTGGAGGAGATGCCCGATAGCTAGTTCAATCAGATGTCTTTTGGAAATGTCCCTGGAGACGGGACAAGGTACAAAAGTCTGCAGGGGGCTGGAAAGAAATTCCAGGGCCAGGCCAAAATGGATGGTACGCCTGATCCAGGAGTCGCTGGTGATATCATCCCAGCGATCAGCGAAGGCGGATAGACGTGTCCCAATAGGGAGATGGTCAGAAATTTCACTTCTGCTTCCAAAAGGTATGGTTTGAACTGTCCTTGAAGGGCTTCCTATAGGAGACCTGCTGGGAGTTCCGGTTGGACCTGTCCTGGAACTGATGGTGTTGTCTCGGGGGAGACTGGAGCTGAGGATGGGGGTAGGCAAATCCCCCATCCATCCCACAAAAGGATGACCTGCAGAAGAAAGAAGAGGGTTTGGGGTCAGACTTGCGGTTTGCAGAAGGAAGCATCTTGCACTTGTCCTTGGACTTTACCAAGAGAGGCTCCAGAGGAGGACTAAAGAGCCGGCCGGGTGAGAAGAGTGAGGAAGCCAATCGCCACTTTTCTCTGGCTTCCGCCTGCCACTGCTTCAGCCAAAGAAGATGCCTCGTGCTGATGTTAGAAGCCATGGACCTGGAAGAGAAATGTGCCGCATCCAGAGAGGCATCTGCCGCATACTCCATTGCCGCCTTGAGCTTGTTGATATCCTGGTGAGCTCGGGAATCTCCAGGAGGGATCCTGTCCTGCATCTGCTTTAACCAACGAAGGGTGACCCTGTTAAAAAATGAAGCAGAAGAGGCGGCCTTGACTGCCCATGTGGCGGACTGATGGCCCTTTACCAGTGACTGCTCAAAACGTTTGTCCTCAGGGCAGAGAGCATCTTCTGGAGCAGTGGTGGCTGCGTTAGGCGATGACAAGGAAACCACTGACAGATCAATGGAAGGAACCTCCAAAAGTTTAGAGAGCTCTGGGCTGACATTATACAGCTGTTTGTCCAGAGTGGAAGGAAGGGGCCCTGACCCTGGAGAAGCCCACTGATTTTGAATCACCTCCAGAAACAGTTTCGGGGAAGGAACTATGTCCTTCTCAATGGGAAGGCATGAGAAGAGGGGGTCAGTGGTATCTGACTTGTCTGCCTCTAAGGAGGAGGATGGTTTAGAAGCCAGAATACCAGAAACCTTCTTGGCTTTAAACAAGAGGGAACGAAACAAGGCAGGCTTGAATAGGCCCAAAAAGGCAGAAGGAGCAGGTGTCAAGTCCTCATCCTCTGACAGGTCAGAATCCCGAGTGACCTGCTCCTCAATGTCAACAGCAGGAGGCTGAGAAATGCTCGCAGAAGCAGCCCCTTGGGCCTGGTTAGAACAATCCCTCTTAGATTTGTTGGAAGATCAGCAATGAGGCATAGCAGCAGCAGGAGGCTGATGCTGAAGGCCTGCAGCAATGCCCTGCTCAATGGCAGCTGCTATGAAGTCAGCCATATCATCAGGGTTGATGTGACAGCCCTGGGGGCAGGGGAACCCACATCTATGTCCGGGGTGATGCTGCCATCCCCTTCAGAATCTGAATCCCCTTGAAATCCAATCCCATCCTCATTGTTTAAGGGAGATGCTGCGGGGGAGACATCCCCATCAGTATCAGTGAAGAGGGCCTCCATAGGGTTGAAATTAGTTGGAGAAGAAACCCTAGGAGTGGGGACAGGAGTAGACCAATGATTGGTCTTGGAAGTGGCCTTTCTTGGAGCAGGAGCAGGGACCTTGTCAGTAGCTGCACTGGGAGTGGTAGTTTCCTGGGCCTCCTGAGGAGGAGCAGGCCTAGGGGCCTTGGCAGGCTTGGTAGCAGAAGGCTTGGAATGGCCTCTCTTTTTACTCCTAGGCTCAGAGGGGACTGGAGCAGAAGGGGCAACTGGACTGGGTGAATCTCCCCCCTTGGGAATGGTTCCATTGGTTGCCATTACTCACAATAACTCTTCTAACCAGCAGGGATCTTGCGAAGTGTTGTAGAAGGCTTCCTGCCCAAGCAAAATGGCTGCTGCTGTTTTCGTGCCCAAATTAACTGCCTTTGGTTAGTAGACCAAGGCCTGAGAAAGGGCTGAGGTGGCGAGCTGACCAGGCAGTTTATCGCCCGGCAGTTTTACTGCCCATCAAGCGCTCCAGCGCGAGCAGGGAGATCAGGAGCCAAAGGAGGGGGGTGTGGAGGCTTGGAAGGCGATTCCTGTGGCCTCCACGATTAAAGGAGCCTCCAACGGCATGCGCGGCTGCCACGATTATCCCTGAGGTGCAAAAACCTTTTTCAGAGACTTGGGCTCTTTCAGGCAGCGCGGCACCAGCGAGTGGCTGGTGCTTGTTCGGGCAGCGCGGCAGTGCTGAGCGGCAATAGGGGAGCTTGAGGCGAACCTCGTAGGCTGGCCACAAGGCTGTTAGCTGCTGAGGCAGCCAAACCAGAGGGAGACAAAAGCCTCATAAAGGCTGAAACGCTTTAAAGAGCGGAGGCCTGATTAATAGCAATTTAGGAGGAAGCCAACTGAGAAGCGTTTGAAGATATTTTGAAGGATTTTTAGAGAAAGGTAAAGGAAATTAGCAAGGTTTGATTTGGTTTGGTTTATTGGATTTATATGCTGCCCTTCTCCCAAGGACTCAGGGCGGCGTACAACATTAAAAAAAACACGTATTACAAAAGTTTAAAAAAATTAAATAGAATATCCAAAACAAACCCAATTAAGATTAACAATAACATTTTTAAAAAGATTTGATTAAAATTAGCACTAATCAATAATTCATTTTGTTTTGTTCAGGCCAGGCTGGCTTGCTGGAAAAGCCAACTTTTTAGGGCGCATTGGAAGGACCGGAGGTCAGGGATTATACGAAGCTCCGGGGACAGCTCATTCCAGAGGGAAGGCGCTCCCACAGAGAAGGCTCTCCCCCTGGGGGTCGCTAGCCGACACTGTCTGGCCGATGGCACCTTGAAGAGGCCAACTTTGTGGGATCGCATTGGACGGTGGGAGGCTACCAGTGGCAGTAGGTGGTCTCGCAGGTATCCTGGGCCTGAGCCATGGAGCGCTTTAAAGGTCATAATTAGTACCTGGAATTGCACCCGGAAGACAACCGGCAACCAATGCAGGCCGCCTAAAAGGGCCTTCTCTGAAGGGGCTAAAATTTATCCCCCTATCATCAAAGATGGAACAAGATGCACAAATCGGGATGACGGAAACCACAGCCACTCAGTTTTGGAGGGATTGAGCTTGAGCCTGTTCCTCCCCATCCAGATCCACACAGCCTCCAGGCATTGGGACATCACGTTGAGGGCATCATTTGGGAGGTTTGGGGTAGAGATGAAAAGTTGGGTATCATCAGCATATTGATGATACCATACCCCAAAACCACAGATGATCTCACCCAGTGGTTTCATATATATGTTGAACAGGAGGTGTGAGAGAACCGACCCCTGGGGCACCCCACAAGTGACACACCTCGGGGTCAATCCCTGCCCTCCAGCCAACACAAACTGTGACCTATCCAACAGGTAGGAGGAGAACCACCGTAAAACGGTGCCCCCCACTCCCGACTCCCTGAGTTGTCGCAGTAGGATACCATGGCTGATGGTATCCAAAGCCGCTGAGAGGTCTAATAAAACCAGGAAGAGGAGCAGCCCCTGTCCCAGGCCCGCCAGAGATCATCAACCAACGTGACCAATGCCGTCTCCGTGCTGTATCCAGGCCTGAAACCCGACTGAAACAGATCCAGGTAAACAGCTTCATCCAGGTACTAGGGAAGCTGACATGCTACCACACTCTCGACAACCTTCGTTACAAAGCGAAGGTTGGAGACCGGACGATAATTGGCTAAAGAAGCTGGGAGCAGGGAAGGCTTCTTAAGGAGGGGCCTCACCACCGCCTCCTTCAAGGTGGTGGAAAAGAACCCCTCTCACAACAAACCATTGGTAATCGCCTGGAGCCAGCCTCAGGTCACCTCCCGGGAAGCCGAGACTAACCAAGAGGGACACGGGTCCAGCACACAAGTGGCAGCACTGAGTCTCCCCATAATCCTGTCCATGCCCTCAGGGGTCACAGGGTCAAACTCATCCCAGATGGTCTCCACAAGATTCATCCCCGTCGACTCGCCCGAATCTACCCAGTCAGAATCCAAGCCTGTCCAGATCTGAGTGATTTTATCCTGCAGATACTGAACAAATTCTTCAGCCCTACCCTTCAAGGGGTCTTTCCCAGTTCCTTGGTTAAGTAAGGAGTGGGTCACCCTAAAGGAGAGATAGGGAGACACAGCTAATCAAAGGATCGATTGAGTCTATTTTTGGGGAGGCGCTTTGTGGGCGTGGCTTTAATACTTGTAGACCAAGTCGTATTGGAATCCTGATGGAGTCAAACCCATGCCTGGATGATGTCTCCACCTACTGGAGAAGGCCTAGCAAATACTAAAACTGCCTGCTTCCCAATACTTCCTTCCCCCACTTCCCTGATACCCCATGCTCCACCTCCCGTCCCTCAAGATCCCCACAGCTCTTGGACCTGCTTTCTCCTAACAGGATCTGCATAAGCATTCCCACACACACAACTTTCTGCAGGTCTTAGGCTTGCTTCCCACCCCACTTGACCCATCTCCTCCCTCATTACCCATCATAGACCATTTTAAGATCTCCAGAACTCCAGACATGTAGAATTGTGGCTACTCCAAAATGGCAGCTGCTTTCTGTATGCAGTCAAATGCCAAGGGAAAAGTGGTCTTAACAAGATCTGTGCAGTTTTGCACAAAACTTCAGAGCTTTCTGCAGTGCTAAGCAGACTGCATTAGGAAAGCAGAGCAGACAGCAGCTGCGTCGCAGAAGCACCTGCCATTCCTTGCAGCTGCTTCTAACCACACAACCAGGGGCACTGAGGGATGGAGTGGCTTGCGAAGGATGTGAGCACCTGAGCTTTAGAGATCTTCAAACTATTAAGTGCATGATGGGGATATGTAGGAGGCTCAAGGCCTGCAGTGACCCAGTAGGGCAGAATGAAGGAGAAAGACCGGGAAGTGGTGGGGGAGGTATACTGCAGGGTTCCTGCTGTGAATCTTTAAGTGTGAATGACAGTGTGGGTCTGCTGCAGCAGTAACTTCAAAATGGGATTTTTAGTGGCTATTGGGATGTCTATTGTATGTAAGGACTACATTTTTTTAAAATTAGATTATTTGTGCCAAAACCGCATATCTTTGAAAATAAACTTACTGTGTTCATTATTACATTTAGCAATATTATTGTTGTTTATTTATTTATTTATTTATACACACACACACACACACACACACACACGTTACATGTTTATTATGGAATATCTATTATTTAAAAAGTAACATGCTGAATTAAATTGATCATCTAGTCCACTGTTCTGTTTTTAATCAGAACCAGCTAGAAGCCTGTAGATAACTTATATACAAGACCTAAGGGCAACAGTCTTCTCAGATTATTTTACTCATTACATTGAATTCAAATATATTTAGTGCACCTCAAAATACTTTTTATATTTTATTGTGTTTACTAATCTAGGTGAAATGTTAATATATACTACTAGTCCATATATGATATGCCATACGCTAAATAAATAAATTCTTCCAGCTGCACATAGGCAGAACTTCTCTGTAGTGGATGGCTTCCAGCTACCAAAAAGCTACTATTGTAAATAATTTTGTATTGTGTGAATTCCACTGAGCTAGTGATGTCTTACATGTAAGATTATATTTGAGGAATTTTTTGATGTAAATATACAAAATGGTTAAAACAGTCATGTAAAAAATTGATATGAATAATGTATATGTTTCATATGGATAAGATAATTATATTTTGAATCTTGGTGTTGCTGTGAATGTGTTTCCCACCTATGTCTCTCAGAAATTGAACATTCATAATATGTATGTAAAGGACAAGGGCTAATTGGATCATTTTAGTAGAATATTTAATTAAATTTATATACCAGAATTACATTTAAATTTAGAAAAAAACTGGAAGTATGCAGAAATATTTTCTGTAGTTCTTTGCCTTTCTTCGCCGTAATCTTTAAAGTTCTTTGAATTATTTATTTTACATTTTGAATCCAAAATATGCTTTTGAATTATACAGGTGCTACTGATGTGGATCCTTTCAGCTGATTTACTAAAATGCTGTTTTTTATCCAATCCACTGATTTGCTGTTCTAAAATATATAATTTCTGAATTGCTACTATGTGCATCAAGTAGCATTGCTATGTGGTTCTCAAGTAAAATAATTCCATTCTCATCTGTTTGTCATTAGATATTATACTTTTCTGTATATTTGATTCTTTTTATTTTTACAGGTGAAAGTTGCAATCCTTAAATACATAGAGACACTTGCACAACAGATGGACCCAGGAGATTTTGTAAATTCCAGTGAAACTCGCCTGGCTGTATCTCGAATTATTACTTGGACAACAGAACCCAAAAGTTCAGATGTTAGGAAGGTATTTCAAATTATGTTAACATGAGTAAAGTTATTTCTTAAAAACTTTTATTTATCTTTTGTTGTATTGAATTCTACATTAATATTTTAATTTCAATAAAATGATATTGATTATCCATAATAATTTTGAAAAAAATCTTCATGTGTTTGTTGAGTTTTGTGAAGGACAATAACCAAGTAGAATTTTGACCTAATGTAATGTAAACAGATGAATTTAAAACATGCACATTTCTATTCAACTTATTTGAAAATTCATTTGCCAATAAACCAAAAAGTGGGTGGAAATGTTTGTGCAGTGTTGCTGGTCCTTTGGTGAATACCAGCCGGACTGCAGCAGTGGGGTCCTTTTACAGTACTGAACCCCACCACTTCTATCTTTATCATTGCCCATCTCTTCTGTCTCTTTTTCACAGTGCAGGAGTCAATAGGCAGAGCTGGCACATGAGAGGACACCTATCTGTACTCCTCTCAGGCTCAACCTGATGCGTTGTTCTTGTTTTCCTCCTCTAAACCTAGGTGCATGTTATGGTTAGGTGTGTCTTGTACTGTGAAAAATATGGTATTTGCCAACTGCCTACACATTTAGAGTATTTGCAAGAAAAAAACCACAGCCAGGTAATAACTTATTGAATGTATATTGCAATATATATATTAATTGTCATTAATGAAGGGAGAGAGAGTGAAAGATCAAACCTCTGTGTGTGTCAGAGAGACAGAGAGAGCACCCCGCCACCAGCCCTGGTATATGGTAACTCTCTGAGGTTGGATCAGATCTTTCTCTCTGTGTGTCTCTCTCTCTCTCTTACACACACACACGTCCCTCACACACCCTCCAAGGCAGCTACATCCCTTCTCTAACTTGCTTTCCTGCTGCACATGCAGGACAAGAAAAGTAGTCTGTGTGACCATGGTAAAAAAAAAACCAGAAAATGCCTTCCAACTTCTCGCAAAAAAAAAAAAAGCTCACAAAGTTGGAAGTAGTCCTACAAACTATTTTTCTTGCCCTGCATGTGGCAGTGGAGAATGGAGCAGGAAAGCAGGTTAATGGAGGGATGTGGCTGCCTTGGGAGGGGGTGGGGTTAGATCTCTCTCTGAGAGAGAGGGGGGGGAGAGAGAGAGGGGAGAGAGAGAGGGGAGAGAGAGAGAGAGAGAGAGAGAGAGAGAGAGACACCGTCCGTCCTTTGGGAGATCTGCACAGACACACAGATTGCAAAGCTGAAAACTTCAAATACAGCATTTGTGGGATCTGTGTGCACTGAGATCCCAAGTAAAGAATGCCAGGAAAAGGGGGGATTTTGCCTCTTATCCTGTTCAGAGTCTGCTGCACCTCACAACAGAGTGAGAGGAAGAAAAATCCCCCTCCCCATTTTCAAGCCATTTGCAAAAATGCCTTCAATGCCTGGAATATGCTGAAGGCTTGGAATGGTGCGTTTTTTCAAACAGCTTGAAAATGGGGAGGGGGATTTTCCTTCCTCTCACCCTGTTCTGAGGCTCAGCACAGACTCAGAACAGGATAAGAAGCAAAATCCCCCCTCCCCATTTTCAAGCGGTTTGCAAAAACACCCCATAATGAGCCTTCAATGTGAATATATGCAGGTGTGAAGCAACCTCCCGTAGGCATGGAAATCCATACACCTGGGATGAAGAAGCTCTGTGAGGAGACACCTCTGCTGAAGTGCAGGAAATCCCCTCCTCCACTTGCAGATCATCCTTTCAAAGAGGAGTTTCAGCAGGATGAAGAGGTGGCTGGAGGCGCCGTTTGTGTCACCTTCATCCTGGTGAAACTCCTCTTTGAAAGGATGATCTGCAGGTGGTGGGGGAGATTTCCTGCACATCGGCAGCGGCGTCACCTTGCAAGACTTCTTCCAATGTCCCGTGTATGTCCCGTGTATGGATTTCCATGCCTTCCTTTTCTGTTCCATGGATGGAATCGCCTGCTGTGACTGTCACTGTTAGATGAAGAGGGCATGAGGCATGTGGGGTGTATTGCTTGGCCTCCAGCTTCTTTTGCAACTGCAATTGGCTGCAAAAGTGACCATACTTGCTGGAGGCAGAGGCCTGAGTGGCACTCGCGAATCAGCTGTTTTGTGAATGGAGCAGCTCAGCTGATCTGATTAAGGCATTGAGAAGCCCTGAAGGGGAAGGGAAGGGCTGCCTCCTATGTTGGTCATGCCCACCCCTTCACTGGGGCTTATTTTCGGGGCATATATTTAGGCCCACCCCAAAAATCAGGCTTGGCCTTATTTTCAGGACATGTCGTATGTTTGGGAAAACACGGTAGTATTATGTAATATTGGTAAACGTAATCAGAATGTCAAGTATAAGCTAGATGGTATTGATCTAGCAGATGACTCTCATTTTGTCAAGGACTTAGGTGTACTTATTTCTGACGACCTATGTTCCAAAGTTAATTGTAACAGCATTGCTAAACAAGCATTTAGAGTTGTAAATTTAATTTTGCGAAACTATTTTTCTGGAAACATTGTATTACTAATTAGACCTTATAAAACTTATGCTAGACCAATCTTAGAGTATTATTTACCTGTTTGGAATCCCTACCATATATCTAACATCAGTACAATCGAGAGGATTCACAATATATTTCACAAGGAAAAAAAGTCTTCTATACACAATAGAACTCCCTATGCTATTCTCGAAATTATCAGTTTGGATAATTTAGAACTGTGTCACTTGCAGTTAGACCTAGGTATTGCATACAAAATTATACATAGTGATGCTTTACTTGTAAATGACTTTTTTTGTTTTAATTGCAATAATACACGTGTGAACAGCTGCTTTAAATTTAATGTGTATTCTAAACTTGACTGTAAAAAATATGATTTCTGTAATAGAGTTGTCAAAGTCTGGAATGCTCTACCTGATCCAGTTGTCTCAGCTACACATTTTCATGGTTCCAGACACAATTGACTTCCATGGACCCTACTTCCTACTTGAGTGGTCAGTAGAGGGGGGCGTGCATAAGTGCACTATCGTGCCTATCGTCCCTGTCATTGTATTTTTCTTTTATTCTTGTTCTTGTTTTTGTTTGACAAATTCTGATAAATCAAATAAATAAATGACAGCCAGGCTCTGCTCAATCAGAAAAAAATCATATTAGAATCTAACAAGCCTAATAAAGATTATAATTACATCAGGATCAAGTATGGTATATCATACATGGACTACACTTCGCTAATAGAAGCTAGCAAAACACATATTGTATGCTCTGTACACCATTGAATATCATAAGAAGATGGTTTTATTCGAACAACTTGCACAGGTTTCTGATATCTGATTTCCTAAAAAACTGAAGAACAAATACACAACCCTTTTTTTAATGCCACTCAGTATGCAGTGAAACCCAGCCCATTTATTTTGGCAAAATCTGTAGGTATCTTTTAAACTATAGTTGAAAATAAATGTACGGTAAGTAAAATTATTGCAATATCAGATTCAAGGATTGAATGTATGTAACATTTTATATAAAGATTTATTTGGATCACCCTCTGCCAGAGATTAGTAATTCTTTTACTGAACTATAAAGAACCCAAGAGGAAGAAAAAAAGATTTAGATTACTTATATGTAATTGTATTTTAAAATTTCATCATAATTTTAGAATTTCATAATGAAAGAGGTATGTGTTATTGGAAGTCCAGGGAAGAAAAAAGAGTTTCAGTGAGTGTGAATATATTTTACAATTCCATAATTATGAAATTATCAACAATTGTCCTTCAAGTCTGGCTTAATTATTTTATCATTTTCCTAGGCTGCACAATCAGTGCTGATTTCTCTTTTTGAACTCAATACCCCTGAATTTACAATGCTGTTGGGTGCTTTACCAAAAACATTTCAAGATGGCGCCACAAAGTTGCTTCACAGTCACCTCCGGAATACAGGCAATGGGGGACAGGTATATTTATAATCACTTACAGTAGCTGGAGATAATTTCCAGTAAACTATGGTGAATTAACACACATACATACTTAGTAGCCCTCTTTTATTGTTGTTTTATGTTAGTTTTCAAATTGGACCTTTGAGTCTTTATTCTAGAAAAATGCATGAAGCCTTCTTCAGAGATTTTTATCATTATAAGGATAAATCCAATAATAATGCTCAAAAGACTCACAAGGAATGTGTGTGTGTTTTATAGGGGCCCATGGGAAGCCCATTAACAAGGCCTGTTCCACGCTCACCAGCTAGTTGGTCTAGCCCCATCACTTCACCAACCAATACATCCCAGAACACATTATCACCAAGGTAAGATACCAAATACTAATTTAGAACCAGCACTGACTCTCGCCCAACAAAAAGCTTTCACTGATAAAGATGCATTTGTTTCCACCAGGATTTTTCTTGAAGAATGGCAGAAATTGTTTTTCCCTGCAGAATCAGCCATTTCATACAGTTCTGTAACTAATTCAGCTTTGTAACATTTAAATAACATTGTTTTCAAACAATTTAAATACAAATGTGAATTAACTGCACCATAATTTAATTTAAGAAAAATATAGTGACAGAATATTTAAAACATCAATTCCACAAAAATCCTTTTGCTGCTTACCATATAATTCATTTATTTTGAAATATGTTCAATTTTATATAGTTTGTAAATTTCTTTGTTCCTTTCTTTTTCTCCTTTTCTTTCTTTCAAATATCTTTTTAAAAGAAAAATATTAATTTGTCTCATTATTTGCCTGGTTACCCTTGTAAATCCCCATCTTATTAACAGCAAAACTTCCATACTTACTCTTTGTGATCATATTTTACTTCTTAAATATTAAACCCATCTTAACTCTGTTACAATAGCTGCTCCTTGTCTAAATTTCTAATCTAGCAATGCTTTGCCACAACTCAAAAAAGGCATATATATATGTATATATTCTTTCTAGCCTAATTAATTATTTTAATATAAGCAGTCATCTAATTTCCTATTGAGTTATATGTACAAATCAATACATAGAAATAGTCATTAGAGAATCATAAATTGCTGAAATTAAAACTGCTTCACAATATTTTTATTACTGTTGTTTAATAGTGCATTTGATTACGATTCTGAAAATATGAATTCAGAAGATATATATAGTTCTCTCCGTGGAGTGACTGAAGCAATTCAGAACTTTAGCTTCCGCAGTCAGGAGGATATGAACGAACCTATGAAACGGGATTCAAAAAAAGAAGATAGTGATTCAGTAAGTATTACGAAAAAATCTGTAAAAATGAAAAATAATTCAGAATCCATACTGATATATACCTGGGTGCTTGTTTTTTTCAGCCCATATGCAAGAAAACAAAAGATGCATATTCTTTGAGTAAATATTACCCAAAGTAATTGGGAATTAGCCCTAATTAAAAATATATATGTGGAGACATAATTATAAGAGAGCCTACACTTAAAAAATGATTCTTATTTTGAATCTAATTTCTTTGTGCTAGTAAAATATTCCTTTATATGTTTACATTTACTGGCAGTATCACCTGCTGATATAAAAGTGTGTGTGTGTGTATGTGTGTGTGTGTGAGTGAGATAGAGAGAGAGAGCAATAGAGAGAGAGAGTGTGTAAAATTTTAAGAACAAAAAAGCTTAAAACTGAAAAAGAATATATTTGCATCAAATGAATCTTGGAATCTTAAAAAACTGATGGCAGAAAAAGACCTAGTACTCTTTCAAGTGCACCTTTTGAATTTATTTTTTTCTTATTTATTTATTTATATTATATTATTATTATTATTATTATTATTATTATTATTATTATTATTATTATTATTATTATTATTATTGTTATTATTATACTACAATTGTATCACAGTGGCCAGTTGTTTTGCCGGATTTGGCATTGGTTACTAGTCAGGCCCCACCCAGGGGCCTAGGAC